TTGTCACGGTTGTAATAAAACATGTTTAAAAAAAACATCTGTTAAAGCATATGTAAATAGTTTAAAATGTCCCATAGGTATTATGGAACATTTTAAACTTTAAATCTAAATTTTGAAATTTTTGGTATTTTAATACACTGCGTGTATTAAATATAACAACTCTGACAATTATTGTTGAAAACGAACTTATTTTTAGAAAATCTATGCTTTACAATCAAGTTTGAAACTACTTTTGGGTAATTCGTTTTTTAAGAAAATAGTAATAACCTATAGGTTATCACTATACATTATTTCTTCATCGTTCCTACTATTCAATTCAATTAATGGATTTATTTTCTAAATTCTTAGAATCTTGTTCGCTGTTACATAGTTTTCCATTGCGCAATGTATTCACTAACATATTATACGGTTTGATAATTATCGATACTGATTGTTGTAAGAAAATAAAACATTTCATGATTGATTTTTCATTTTACACGAACATTTTCTGTTAATGATCCTAAAAATAAAACCTTACTTTGATTCTTTTATATAATTTTTTGTTACTTATTATAGTTTTGATGATTTTTATTGAAAAAAACCTAACGATCCTTCCACAATACCTCAATTAGTCTTTTCGGAATATACAGGAATAATGAATTACATGATTCGTATTCTTTAATCTGTTAAATAACAATGGCAAATGATCTTTTACAGTATTTTCATGTATGTAAGATTAATAGGAATAAATAATACATTAACCTTATTAATTTCGTACTAAGCACTTTATTTTATAGTGTGACTTTGACAAATATAGTTCCCATTAAAAAAACGTTTTCCAAAGTCTCCCGTTAAATTTTATTTCGTCACAAAACAGTTACTATTGTCGAAGGCATTAAAAATATATTGTACTACGTTTAAGTTCACAGTAAACTCTTCGTATTAAAGGTATTATTTTTTTCGTGTTATTCGACCGAAACCAAAGCCTTTGACGGTATGAAATACTTGTCTGATTGGAGTAGCATTGTTATGACAAACATAAACAAATTATTTCGTTGTTATAACATACCGCAGTCGTTCCAAAAAAACTTAGCGTTTTGTCACGACACAAATAATGATAATAACGATGAAAATAACAATTACAAAAATAGTCAGCCTACGGAAACAAATAAAAGGTCATTCCAGACTCGGACGTGTGTTTAAAACGGCAACCATACGCTGGGCTGTGGTATCTATTGACATTTTATTGTTTCGTAGAAAGTAAAAAGGGATTGCGCGGGTCTGGTCCGAGCGGTTGGACACGGTGTTTTATGTTGGCTCGTGTTACTGAGGTTGGTGAAAAAAAAACATAACGAAATAATACAAGTGAAATTTTGTGCGCCCACATCTGCCTCCTCCCCAGACTTGTCTAGACAACAGACCAACAAAATCGTTATGATTTACTCGGGGCAGGGGTTGATTTTTCTCTTTTACCGCAATCAACCGATACATTGTGTTGTCATGCATAGGTACGACATAAACGGGGTCATAACCTTCGACGGCCGCCGGTATTTCAATGAGATTAACCCTTTACCGTGGTCCATTCGAAACCGTTCACGTTGCGTTAGGTACCGAACACAGGTATAAATAACAAACACAAAAGACGCCGAGATGATTTCAAGGATATTGTTTTTTTGACCAGAGACCAAGACGACCATTCGACTCGGCCGGAAAGGACCAACCGAATCTATGCCGCTGCAGGTGTGTCAGCTGGACGACCACTACGCAAGCCATCGGGTTTATTGTTAGTTTAATAGTAATTAGTCGTCTGCTGTTTCGAAGGCATGGGAAATTCTTATAAGTAGTTAAAAAACTGCAATCCACTGTCGGGGGACAAAGCGCACAGATTTTTATCGTCCAAAAGGAAGCTGACCCTCGGCCGCAGCCTTGGCCGGATGAGGGAGGCGACCATCGCAAATGGGATTTTTCGACAAACGCCAGCCAACGTGCACAACATACGAGATGACCGATGATAAGTCTTACGATGATGACTATGTCCATCATCTGGTTATCTATAGTTGCCATCGTTATTGTTGTGATGTGTACTCGTGAATTGCCGCCGTCAAATCGTGGTTACTTAGGTTTTTTTATGACTCCATTAAACCATCGCATCAGTGTAATGTACCGCCGTAAAACCTAATTGAACATTATATTATACTAATAAGTCACAAACAAGACTATCGTCTTAAAAGTAAATATGCCGCACAAGATCTAAAATTTCCAAACTCTACGGTCGGCGGCGGGACCTTTGAAAGATTTTTACTTTGACCTTTATATAATAAACTATTCAATGTTAAAGAACGTCTTCAACTGGACCATCGTTTTACAATCGATACTGTTCTATGCATATTTTTACATATTTTTATAGCGGTCATCTTATCTGTTATTTTTTTACACCTTCATTGTTAGTACGACCGTTTTAGACTTCTCAAATATAATACGAACGAGTTACAACGTTTACCGAACGATCAGACGTTCTTGAAAAATTCTAAATAGACAAACGTTTGTATGTGTAATTTATTTAGACTCATCAATTTCTATTGCAAACGTAAACGATTTAATAATGTTGACCATTCTAATGACCACAATGATTAATTTCTACTAATTCCATTTTACCGTTTTGTAACATCTTGATTACACATTAAGAGGATGTATAATAGAGAGGTGTAATTAGAGTGTGTGTTTCTCGGTGTTGTCATCGAGTTGGTTTTATGTGATTTATCAGCTTATGAGAAAAAGCCACGAAATTTAGCTTTTATGAAAAATTTTAATAAAATCAAATTTCAATGACAAGACTTTTTAAGTATCGTTAGATATCTTTTCAATATTTGGTCAATTTAATCAATCACTTCCAAACCCGAAAATCTGGACAAAGCCATTAAATTGTTTATTGGTAAACTTTTCGTTTGTTGTTTCAAAGAAAATAAAAATTATAAATAGTTACTTTTTAAACGATGGATGCAAAGATAAATTTTTAGGTAATATTTCATGATACAATACTAAGCACTTTAATTTTATTAGGTATATATATTTTTAAATCTAACCCTTTACCAACCCACATAAAGAATTCAAAATATACTCTTGTACGAAAATTTAACCTCTCTAACATAAACATCAAAATTGTTCCGGAAACACTGCGTGCTTTAAACATATGTTAAATTAAATATTGTGTTACATACTCTACATTAAAAAATAGTAATTTGTCCCTATGACTTGTTTTTTTATGTAAAAAACCTGCAAGTTTAAATAAAAAATTATATTTTTGTTACCGTTTTTCGCATTTTCATAACTTTCTTTTTCAATTATTTATACTTCTATTTAAGGTCAAACATTATAGATATCTCGGAAAAAGATAATTACCATCATTTAAATTCTCCTTTTTACAAAAAAAAAAAGATAATGATAATAATAAATATTTAAGTGTAGTTATAAATATTTTTTGTAACCTTTAATGTTTTACATATTTTACAAGTATATTAAAAGGAAAGGGGAAGCCCTTTCCCAAAAAAAATATTCTATTTATTTATGGATTATGATAAATTACAATTTCAGTTGTAATTTACAACCCTGTTAAAATTCATAATTATCTATATGGCCATGATTCTGTTAGAGAGGCCAATAATAATAATTAAAATTAAATGATAATTTTTTAATAAATAATTGCAAATGGTCATAATTTGGACAATATTACAATTTTTGAATCTAGTAACTAGATACATTTATCAGATATGCTTCTTTCTATAAATTTCGTAGTATTACAGTATATTCAAATAATTTAAATCAAATGATTTAATACAAAATTTAAGTAAAATAAATCCGAACACAAGTTTCAGTTAGTGATTAGTATATTTCAGTTATACTAATGGGAAAACAGGAACATTACACAGGTGTTCTGATGTTTTTAATAACTTTTGATCCAGTAAATATTTTGCGTTACTTTTTAATAATTTTTTTTTGCTGTTTTGGATTACCTTAATAGTATATTTTTTATTATTTGAACCCAATATAAAAAATAGAAAAAAATTATATAACGTCTCCAATATGCTAGATTTTTTAAATTGCAATTTTAATTTTAATTATATTTAATTAATTGAATAATGTGTTGAGCTATCATTATTTTTTTTAATTATTAAAATTATGTGGTTCTATTTTCTTTAAAATATTTCATTTATGCAGTTAAAGTTCAACATTTGTAATTGCAAATTTCACACTAACAATAAACTAAAATACATTTGAACTTTTAAACATTTTAAGCTTAATATAAATTAGACTTGGATGGTTTGGTCATGTTATGAGAAGAAAAGAATCGGAAGCCGTTAGAACAGTTGTAGAAATGAATGTTGAAGGAAGAAGAGGTAGAGGAAGACCAAAAAAGAGACAGAGAGATGTTATTGATTGTGATATGAGGACAGCTGATGTGAGCGATCGTGTCAAGTGTAAGTTTAGGATAAGGGTGGTCGACTCCAAGTAGTTGGGATTAAGTTGAGGAAGAAGAAGAAGACACTTAATATTAATGCTTGTAAATTATAAAATGTTTTTTAAGTTTAATAAACTAGAACCTTATATAAAAATAAAAAAAAATGATGGTGTCACCGATTGTTAAAAATATTATGTGAATAAAATCTACATTGAGTATAAAGTTAAACTTATTTTAAAAAATTTGGCTAATTTCTCTCTTCTAGGTCTAGAAATACGGCTTTGAAAAATTGAATTAATCTACAAAACTATTTTAACTTAAAAAAAAATATTCAATAGTGAATAAATAAAAAATTAAATATAACTGAAAAATACAAAAAAAAAATTCTCAGTAATATTTTTTTATGAATATTGGAATATTTTAAGATTTACGGATTACCCTGTATTATTTTGACAGTGTCAGAATGATTTATGTAGCCGTGAAGGTTAATCAATAGTTTTAAATCAATATTTAATTTAAAGATGTTATTAATTTCCACAAAAAATAAACTTATTTTAGTCATTAAACATTTGTTATTTAATACAACCCACTATAAAAAGTATATTTTTTAAATTAAAGTTTTATCTAAAAAAATGAAGGTAGCTACATTTATTAATTTAATATTAATTGTTGCGACAAGTTTTATGTGCAGTAAAGTGTCTACGATGGCTAGTTCTTCGAGTTCGGTAAATATAACTTAAATATTAACATTAACATTAGTTTTCCATGACATTACTTTTTTTTTAAACTCATATTGACTAAACTCGTCAAATTTATATATTATATAAAGCTATATTAATGATATTGTATCAATTGCATACAAAATAAAAATAGTTACAGGAATATTTTTTTTTAATTATTTTAGATACATACACTTTTTGATTTATCAATTATTTGGTACTTTTTCAATTTGTCTCTTATACCTTGTAAGGATGTTTACTTCTATTTTTTTTAATGAATATGCACACATTTGTCATTTTACATAACAAACAGAATGTATTATGTAGAGTATATCAATCTAAATATTTTTTTAATTCTTGAATAATTCAAAAATGATTTCCATTGAAATCATTCATTATGATATAAAAGTAAAAAAATAGCGATTTTAACAATATTTTTAGTATTTCTCAAAAAAATTACAGTTGATAGCTAATATATAAGTTCCTGATCACATCAACTTATACAGAACTATTTTTTAAATCTTCATAAAATTTTCTATTTAATAATGGTAATTTTAAACTTGAAATTGAGGTAAAAAAAGTTATGGTAAAAAATTCGTAAAAATCCACTTTAAAAGATCAAAAAAATAGGTTAAACATGAAATTTTCGATATAAATTTTGTTTTACTATTAACCTATTAAAAATCAAAATCAATAATAGTTTGAAAAAAATAAAATTTAATGTGTAAATACTTGTTTTTACTAATTAGAAATTTATTAAAAAACTAGAGGGAATAGAAATAATACAAAAGAAGATTTGAAATTAGCTCGATAAATTGGTTTATAACTATTTGCTTATTTTCAGCTAATTTATCACTTTTTTCACAAATTTATCATAATATATATTGTGGCTATGAGTTTAATATTTTTAATATTTTTTAGTGTTTTTAAATTAATAATATTTTTAATATAGTTTTAATTTTACTTAATTTATCATAAATTGAAGAAACGGATGCGTTATTATTGATACGGACGTCTTTATTTAAGCCTGATAATATTACATATTTTTTTAAATCAAATAATTTTTTTTAATTTAATTTAATAATACTTCCAATTAAAACTATTAATAATGTTTTCCGTAGAATTCAAAGAAATCACATTGTATTGCTGATGGACCATTAAAGAAATTAATAATTTGCTTGCGTGATAGAAACTTAATTTATGTAGTGCAAGTATTCCGTGTTGGTATGGTATTATATATTATTTTAATTCTATTATTTGAATTTTTTTGCTTATTATATTTATATACAATTAAATAATTAAATTTATATGAAGTCAAGTCAATTAATCTAGATTCTATGCATAATTAAAAATTTAATGTTTTTACTATGTCGTGTTTTATTATTAAAATTGATTCGTAGCTGAGTAGGTACTAGTTTTAACCTGATATATGCGTTTTTTTTGTTGTTAGTAGTCAAAATTAATCGATTTTATACTACTAATGCTCAACGACACATTAAAAGATCATAAATCACTACTTGTTGAAGCTTTTACGGGCTTTGTAATAAGCGTCGAAACTCCAAATAGAATTCATATAATATTGTAATAAAAAAAATAACTGTCATCCTATGTAATCATAAAAACCAAAGTATTATGAAATTGCTTTAAACAACTTAATCAAAGTTGAACTTTTTTAAGTAAAAATTTAAGGTCAATTAAGATTTCAAGGCAGTTTCATAACATTTTTGCTTTTTATAATAGTTTTTTCATCAATCATTCACTAAAAATAATTCACTATAGATGAAATAATTTCCAGTAATAAAGGGAAATGTCCCAAAAAATTATTATTGTTTTATCACGGTTAATGTTAATATTTTTACTTTTCAATTTATATTGAATTAAACAAATTGTTACCCATACCAAAATGTTTGAATCTATTTCCTAATAAACAATTATCAAGAGAATATTGTTCTACAATATATGTATATCTAAAGTTATACATTATTTATTGTTATATAATGCACTATAATATTTTGAAATATAATATAATATATTATTTTTAGAATTTCGAATACAATAGATATTTTACAAATTAAAGCATAAATTGATTATTTTTGCATATTTTTCTAATTTTCTTTTTAAAAATTAAGTAGAATAATAAAAGGAGAATTTTAGCAAGGTCTTCAAGAGAATATAAACTTGAACTTTAGGTATCGAAAAACATAAATAATCTTTAAATTATCATGTAGTGAAAGTAATAATATTTATAGTTGTAGGGGCATTTTGAATTTAAATATACAAGTATTAATATTTTTTTAAAGATGATGATGACAATATGACTACTACAAATAAAGCATTCTATGAAGCTTTGGTAGCAGGAGAAGAAGAAGCCAACAAAAAATTATGGGCATTTCAGCGTGTAGAAATAATGCAAAAGATTCTTAATGAACAAATCTTAAATCGTTATAACGTAGAATTAGAAGGTTGTAAAAGGGCTATCAAGGATTGTGTTCGTGAATATGTATTTAAGCCTACAATCAATTAATCTATAGAATCCCTTAGTGATTTATTATGAAGCTTTTAAAATTACGACAGCATGTAGAATTTCTTTATTTTTAATATTTGAATAATTATATTTGTAACTGTGTAAATATTAATTATTAAATATGATATATATAATATTTTACTTCAATAAAATATAATATATTTTTATCTCAGATATAAATATATATAATCTAGATTTAAACTGAATTACTTAACATTGTTTTCATTTATATAGTATAAACTACAGATAATTTTAGAATTATATATTTTACTAGGTTTCTTCCCTGTGAATAGAGAATAAGAATAATTCCACGGGCCCTCTGACAGTCGTAAGAGGCAACTAAAATGAGATTGCATCAGGTCGACAGCCGGTGTAATATTTTTCAAAAAGTATGAGGTGTCCATATATTTTACTAGGTTTCGTCTAAAAGGGGCCCAGACCCGGTGCTCTGCGGGCCTCGCACGCCTAGGTCATGTTAAGCCATTAAGGCTATCCTGGCAGATAGCCACTGTGATCCGATAGGAATACTCGAATGTATTAATCCAGAAGCAATTTACCAGAAAAATATTTCCAATTGTAAATTAAATAATTATAATATGACTTCAAAGTAGTTAGTTGTCTTCATAATAACCTACTAATTATTATTCAGTAGCATAAATAGACGAAATAAAACTTAATAATCATTAAAAACAATCTTTAAATGGCTTATTATTAGTGAAAATTATTTTAACTAACATCAAATTTAAATAAAATTGAGATGCGAAAAGCAAAATCATATCTCATTAAGAATTCTGCACCTGAACTTAAAAAAAACAATTCCATTACTCAGTCAAAAATCAACAGATTTCAATATAATTTGTAGAATATTTTTGAAAGGTCTGGGCAAAAATTTCAGGTTTTAAATGGAAAAATACTAGCGGAAATGAGAACTTTTTATTAAATTTTTAAATGCTCACAATGTGTTAATTACGTCATCGAGCTGTTACATAAAAAAAAAAATTCTATAAATCGGACATGGTTAAGTTACTTTACCATCATTGGCTAATTTTTCAACTTTTTAATTTATTTAAAGATACTCAAACATTTTTATATTGTTGATAGAATTAAAATACTTGAAAACACTTGAATACATTGTAGTAATTGTTTAAATATAAACTGATGTATCAGTTTATTACTTTCATGTAATTTACTTAACTTATTGAACAATGAATTACTTAAAATATGACAATTATTAAGGAGAAAATGTATCATACCGTTTCGTTTATTAAGATACAATTCTCTCTTTGTTCGACTATTTTAAAAAAATCGAATTTTTTCTTTATTTTCATCTGTATAAACTTGAAAACTCTATTTACATGTGATCACGAATTTTATTATCATTAACGGATGTCTTATATAGATAAAAACAACTATTTTTCAAATGAGAACCTTAACATTTTTTTAAATATTCATAATCGTTTGTTAAAAAACAATTTCTTCGTTTCATCCATCGTTAAGTGTGGTAGATGCGATAATCTAAAACAGATAACTATTTCCCACATAGCATTTGCAAAATATTCATGTTTTTACAATATTTTAGCAAAGTTTTTTGGAAAACATTATATTACAAATATTCACATTATTTAAAATATGTTTAATCTCCAAATAATTCAAAGGAAATATAGTTCAAGTTTCATTATTTTGTGGCAAATGAATTTGAACTCAGTTTTGGGTATCAATTTTTTTTTTTTTTACAGTTGTTTAATTTATTTTTATTTATTAATGGCTTAACATTTTTGACAAAAATTAAAATAAAAAAATGGTTATAGATCAAGTTGTAGCTACATATATTAGACCCCCTCTACCAAATCATTTTTAATGATTACCATCATAAAACTATACTGGTTCATATAAAACCAATAAAACTAAAAAAAATATTAGTTAATTAGCTAACCTAGTGTTTGATGGAAGATTTTTTTTAAATATTAAAATAGCGCCATCTGATAATTTATTAGCAGATTGTTAAGGAAGATAGCACTATTATATTATTTATAAGAATTTAATACCTTAAAAAAAAAAATACTTCCATCATGCAATAGTTTTTTATATTTTAAACAAGCTGTATAAATTTCATTCAAATCCGTCGAGTAGTTTTTGTTAAAGTGATCGCAGATTACTGAGGATGGTCTAACCAATGTAGCCATAACTTGGTCTATAATAATTTTTTTTTTTTTAATTTTTATATTTTTTATATTTAAATAAACTTAAAACATAATATAACAATTTTGTTTTATTTATTATATGAAATAAATTTAATTACTGTCAAAAAAAAAGTATACTTAAAATACTCTTTTTATCTCTCTGACTGAAATTCTCTCTGAATTTTTTTAGAAAATGTCTTAAGTAATTAAATAATATGTAAATAATGTATGTAAATAATACATATAACGAAAAATTATCGTAACATGTTGTCAAGTATATGACAGTTAAAATCATGCTTAGCTCACACCTCACATTTATGACTTTTTACCTGGTAACCGGTTCATAAGTACTAATATTTTCCACGTTTTACAGTGTACCAGTCAAATGATAATACGACAAATCTCAAATTTTTATTAAAAATGGTTTTTTCCCATAAGCAAATTTATAGCTGTCGAGAATTAAAAGTTTATTAAAGACCTAATTGTGATAAATGAAAAATAATATCAAATTTTTTCTTTTTTCAATTTTTTTTGTCTTTCGAAAACCCTGACATTTTAATTCTACATCAAATTTATGTTAATTCAATATATTTTAAGATTAAAAAGAAAACTCTTCAAAATCTCGATTTAAAGATGTTATTTTACCTTAAAGACAAAACTCAATCAATTTTTGGTAAAAATGGGCGATTAAAAAGTTTTTTGATTGAAATATCTACATTATTATAAAGTAAATTAAATTAAAACTTTTTTAAGGTACTGTATGATTAAAAGTTCATTACAAATGTGTATCTCTAAGTACACGTGTATTTATGTGTTTTATGATGATGATTTTAGTCCATATATTTTATTTTAAATAACCATCATCTACACTAAACCACATACCGACTGTAAATAATTTTATTTTAAATTGAAAAAGAACATTTTTTAAATATTTAATTGTTGGGTACCATAATCGAGCCATAAACCCAATCACGTACCATTAGTTGTTATGGGTTCTTTAAAAACTAAATTTCTAGAACTTATGGCCATTTAATCCAAAAATTATATAGGTGTTTGTTTACTGGTATTCATAATTAATGAAATAATTTATAGAACATTAATTTTAATTTATTTTATAAAAAATTTTAATTGATTAAGAGTAATTTAAAATAGTAGTTCAATAAAATTTAGGAAACCATGAAAATTCCTAAATTTTAAAGAAGCCATATAAATGCACAAATTTAAGAAGCCATATAAATGCACAAATTTAAGAAGCCATATAAATGCACGAATTTAAGAAGCCATATAAATGCACAAATTTAAGAAGCCATATAAATGCACAAATTTAAGAAGCCATATAAATGCACGAATTTAAGAAGCCATATAAATGCACAAAATTTAAAAAGCCATAAAAATGCACGAAATTTAAGAAGCCATAGAAGTGTACTAAGTTTTAGAAGCCATAAAATAAACAAAATTTAAAAAGCCATAAAAATGCACGAAATTTAAGAAGCCATAGAAGTGTACTAAGTTTTAGAAGCCTTAGATATGCACAGAATTTAATAAACCATAGATATAATATATGTGTTTTACATTTCATAATATTGTGAGACGTTTAAGTCACAAAATTATTAATGAATGATTAGTAATAAGGCCCTAAGTAAAGGGGTAGGGCGTACCCCCCGGCTCAATGGAAAATTTTACTAGCCTACCATAATTACGGACATACATTTTTTGTTGTACATCACTTTTTTCATGGTAGTGAAATTTTTTATTTATAATAGGTCTTATAATAGGTTTTAATAGGTCATAATCCAGCTCTGGGATTAATATGTAGTCTTAACATAAAATTAAGGCATATAAATTTAAATTTTAGTATCGTAGTGTAGCGCTAGTGGACACTAAAATGCTGCCAAGTTTTGGAATTAAGCTTCGCCTGCCGCTGTTAGTCATCGGATGATTACCACACGTCAATATAATAATTTGCATTGCCCAAAATTGGAATATTTTTCATGTCGCAAAATATTTAACCAACGAAACAAAAATAACCCATTAAATTTATATGGCATTTTTGGTTACCCGAAACGTGCCATTTGATATCCCTAAATATTCTTAGTAAGGAAATTTAACACATTACATAAACCATGGATATTTTATAATGTTTTTTACATGATAACAATGTGTTTAAAAAACAGGAATAAATAATAACACCGTTCTAGACCCGTATGTTTTGTACAGCAGCAGTCTTTAAACTACTTTTTGTGTATAGTCGTTTTTGAGAAAATGTTGAATTGATATGGTCGAAATAGAAAAACTTTCGTGTGAATGCGTTTGTAGATCGTTACGGTGTTACGTGTACACGTGCTGACCGCTATGAATGTTTCAGTCAAGTGTAATAATTGAAAAGCATAATATGGTAATGTCAGATAAAGTCACAAAACGGTTGGTAGTAATTAGTTTTTTTGTAGAAGAATGTCGTATGTCGACCAGAGAATGTCATCTATCAGTAGTATTATTGTTATTAGTCGACTGGTTCTTGTTTTGTTTTTTTATTACATGCTCGGTGACTTGGACTTGAATGCAAAGCCCATTTGTGTGTCACTAGCCGGCTGTGCGACTGCGGACTCAAGTCCGGTGGGAGAGTCCCTACAAAAAAATAAACACATTACGTTATTGAAAAGGTATACATGAGGCAGTGTCGTTGGTATGCGTTTGCTGTTCTTGGCCGTGTGCAGGACAAGAGGAGTGCCGTGTGATTTAACCCAGTAACATGCAGACCTGTAGCGACGGCAACGGTGGTCAGGTCTTGCGGGTCTTGTGCACCACGTTAAAAATAACTATGTACGTGTACGCCAGCAACAATAAACAATCAAGAAAAAAAGTCGTACTATATGCAATACAAAATACTATTATTCTATGCGAGATTGTATTATGAGTACATATTGTGTATGTATTACCGCGTATTCTTCGTGTAATACCAACAACAACGTTGTGTTATTATGTTACAGACAGTAGGTGACAAAAGGATGCACAGAACACAATACTAT